ATCAAAGGACTCTCCACACACAAAAATGTGTAAGGCAGAGGTTTATCACATGGGGCATGGCTGTGCTTCAATGTCAGTCTTCTAGGCAAACTAAGTAGTTCTCAAACTGTGGTCTGTGAGATCCATTCTGGTGGTCTATGGAAAGGTCACAGAACAGTCAATAATATATATATTTGGTGCTGCACCTTCTGATGATGACAGAAATTGTGGCCATTTTTACCAGGGCTGGATTACTGAATAGGTTAAAAGGGCCCCAACCCAGGGCACATGATTTTCATCACAAGGCACTGGTGATGTTTATGGTTTTTTTGTCCCTTAAAATACACCAGTTAAAGGGGCTCTTCTCAGTGGCATGGTTTACACACCACAATTTTCATGATATGGTATTGTTTTTGACAGTGGTGATACTTTTTGTTGTTGCTTTCCCATATTTAAGCCAGAAACAAAGCCTGTATGTTATCTAAACTGGTATCAACCACCCTGCTACATTGCATATGTAGTTTAACTTGATTAATTTTATCAGCTGTGCAAGTGGAGTTTTGACACGATACATTTTATCAGCTAGCCTGTGCTTATGCCCCACAGAGGAACTTACGGTCTTCAAATAAAAACATCTTGAAGGTCCCAGGCCACAGAGAGGTTAGGCTGGCCTCAACTAGAGCCAGAGCTTTTTCGGTTGCGGCTCCAACCTGGTGGAACGCTCTGTCGCAAGAGACAAGGGCCCTGCAGGACTTGACATCTTTCCGCAGGGCCTGCAAGACAGAGCTGTTCCACCAGGCCTTTGGTCAGGGCGCAGCCTGACTCCCTCCTTTGGCAATCTTTACAAAACTTTAGTTTATGGTTGCCATCAATTTGTATTTTAATTAATTTTTATAATGTTTTATAATGTTGCATTGTTTTAGTGTTGTTAGCCGCCCTGAGCCTGGCTTCGGCTGGGGAGGGCGGGATATAAATAAAATTTATTATTATTATTATTTATTATTATGGTTCACAATGGAATCAATTCAGCAAAACTATATGTATTGCTTTTATTAGTCACAGTTTTGTCTACTGTGAGCTCATTTGAGTTTAATTTGGTAGAGTTTCCATATCATGGGATGATATTTTTCTACCAGCGCTTGTGTCTGGAAAGTTCTGGGCACTTACCATGTAATCCTATTCTTCTGAGTAAACATCTAGGTCTCTTGACACCCAGGGAGACTTGCTCTTGGTTATGTGTGTATAAGATTGCAGGGTTCAGTCTTCAAATAACTGATATTCCTTAGTATCCTTAAGTGTGTATAGTTTCTGTAGTGCAAAAGCCAAGTAGTATCCATGAAGAGAGGTTTTGGATTATTCTCCTGGGTAGTATAAAAGCTATATTCAGTTGTGAACATGTGCCACTTAATTTTCATAGCAACCAATTAGTATGCATGATTGTTCAGGAAATATATGCATTAGAACCTTGGAAATTTGATTTAAATTGACTATTTAGATCAATCCGCCCCGCACATAACAGCTACTGCTAGAGTTAGAGGCCTGATAAAATATTCTTTGCAGGTAGTATTTCTCCACTGCTGTCCAGAAAGGAAGTAGTGCTTCTACCCTGGATAACAATAACTGTCAGCAAAACAAGATGCAGCAGACTGGCACACAATATTTCAACAAATGTATGCTTTATCAAGGAGTATAGAATTTTCCTCAGTATTCCACATTATTTACTGAAGAACAGAAACACACACACACACACACAGAGCTTTTTACTGAAAGCCAGACTTTCCACAAATTCCCTCTGGAATGCAAGACAGTAGCAAGAACTAAAATGAAGGGAGCTATTACAAATACTTCACTTAGTGTTTTCAGTGACTGAAAAGAAAAAAAGAAAAGGGGAAAAAACCCACACAGACTAAACCACCAAACTTAACTTTTAAAAGCTTTTTGGATATTCAGACCAAGGATGCACAATCTCTTGGGGATATAAAAAAACACATCATTCAGAAGTAAACGAGTATCACTACGCAACCATCACAGCTTTTCTGAACACTACACAGACATTCCAGTCCACTTGTGAACACCTAAATCCATGAATCAACCAACCACAAAATGTATCGCAAAATATACAGATCAATTAAAATGTATCAGAAAGCATTTTTTTAAAATATAGCTGAAAAAAACAAAATATGCATCTGTTGTTGTTTTTTTTAGGTTATAAATTACCATAAATTACTAATTATATAAAGTCACAAATAACTGAACTGGAACCTGTAAAAATTACTATGTTGAGGTGCATATAGATCCTTGGGATAAATAAAATAAGAGGCTTATGGGAATGATCTCCTTCTTCCTTCCAATACAACATGGTTACACCACTGGTGTCGTCTGGGCCACAATATAACCGCAGACTATATTGTGTTTAATCTGGTTTTTTTCGTTGGTTTAGCCATGCCTAAGGCTGCAACCCCATGCACGCTTTTCTAGGAATAAACCTCACTCAACACGACTGGGGTTAATTTCCAAGTAATCATGTACTGGATTGTGCTGCAACTCTCTGTTGGGTGGTGGAAAATTTGTTTAAGCCTTGCTTCCTAGTGAATTGGCAACTCAGGCCCAATAGCTATGAATCATAGCAGGAATGATTTGTGACAGATCACATGTTGGCAGAAACTTCTATTGTGAGTCCAGCTATTTTGATTAATATGAGCAGGCCCAAGTGGACAGGGGTGTGACCAAAAGAAGAAGAACATTTCTGATAACGGGCTCTCTCTCCAGCTTCTGAAATGCAATACACATCAGAGTTGGGAAGCTAAGGGGAAGAGGAGAAAAAATGGTCTGAGCCTGATTTTGCAGTTGTAAGCTGGGAAGAAGCAGTTTGAATATATTTCACTAGAGGTAGCTTAATTGTGCTGTGGGCAGTCCCATCCAGGTAGCTAAAACAATGATTCTTTAGGAACCAATAGCTCGCCTAGCTGTTTCTAAAGCCTAGTTGCTTCCATTGTTTATATTTGTAAATAAAATGTGTCTTAGTGCTATCTCATCCAAAGCAAACTAAACCCTCCAGTCCGGCATTGCTAATGGACTTCTTACCAATGAAGGATGTGGAGAACACTATGTTTATGTGCCAGCTAGTCATCATAGAAAAAACTGTTTAGAAACTGCTGCCTGCTTTTGCTTTTGTTCTTCCTTCCCTGTTCCTTGTCCCTTGTGTGTTGTGTTTTGTTAAGATTGTAAGCCTATGGATAGGGATTTGTCTTAATTTGATTGTATGTAAGCCACTCTTTTTTGGCTGAAGAGTGGGGTGCAAATGCTTTAAATAAATAATATTAAATAAAAAAAAGAGTCCCCTTTGCTTAATGGGAAATCTTAATTCATCAAAACAGATGTTTCAGAATAGTTGTTTTGTTTAAGTTCGCCCAATGACCTCCACTAACAGGAATGATCTTATTTAAGACCTGCAACAGAGATTGGGGAGAAGCTGGAAGGGGAGAGGTACCCCCGCCAAACTTCTGTAACCTCCAGTCCAGCACCTTCTCTTTTGAACTCTCTCACTTTAAAAGAGGGAGGGTGTGTCTCTACTGTGCTTCTACTTTCTCCTCTCTCTTGTTCATCTTCTGAGGGCAACACAGTGGGAAGGATTACACCCATAGTGTTGCCTAGAGAGAAAGAATGGACACCTGCTTCTGCCTACTCTCTGCTTTTTCCCTTTCTCTCTGAGCAGTATACCACAAAGGGTTGGCGATCTCACCTGAGTTCTCTCTATGAAACTGTTTATTCATTTATTGGATCTAGGGCCACATTCACCCCAGCCGTCCCTCCAGGGATTGCATGGCAGCAATGGGGGTGGCCTGACCATTTCATACACTTGCTTTGCATGCCACAGGTCACATGCCAGACCCCTCTGGAAGACTCTGCCTGCTCCTGGGCATCCCCTTTCTAGAGTGGCACAGCAGTAAAGACTAGGAGCCATCCATAGGCAGCAAAAGCAGGCAGTGGCTGCTCTTTGAAGAGTAGTTACCTCTGCCTCCTTATTCATCACCTTTCTTTTGACAGTATGATGGGAAGGACTGAGTTCACAGGGCCGCAAGCCACAGGGGAGTGAGAGGATGAGGTGGATGCTCCGTAATGTATGTTGTACCACTAAGGTTGCAAGTGAATGGGTAGAGGCTCTGGCTTTCTTCTGCCTATGCCTAGAGGGGATGAGCTGGAGAACGAAGGTAGAGAAGCAGACAGCACTTTCTCTAGCTTGCCTGAGCTCAAGCAGCAGGGCAGCAAGACAGGGCGGCAGTGCCCATTTTCTGCTACAGGGCAACAGGAGGAAGAAATAAGGTAAACTAAAAATAAAAAGGTCCAGGAGGAAGAAATAGCTGTTTACTGGCTGATTACCTCTCCTCGCCAGCAATAGCTGCTAGTTTGGCTGCTGCTGCTTTCAAAAATAAGTGTCACAGTGAAAACTTTTTCTCCCTAATGGGTGCTTAACCTAACCTGGTGTTTTGGCTCTCACACTGGGGAGGGCTGAGTGTGCAAAGCAGCATCCAGATTGAGGAGGCAGTGAGCTTTTGGTGTTACACAAGAGTAGGCTGCTCTTTTTAGGAGAAAAGTGTCTCTCCCCCCGCCCCCATCACTAACCAAGGCATTTCTGTGATATGAACAGCATTACTGTTTGGATCAGAAGCCTGTCAAGTACCTAAAAGCTTGGTTGACTATAATGAGAGATACGTTCGTTTTTATTTGTTAAGTGGGATGGAATGCAAAAAAAAAGGTGGAATATATATGTATGTATATGGAGAAAGTAAATTGTTCAGCGGGTATTTTGGCAGTGTACGAGCTACATAGAATTTATATAAACTGGAGCTCACAGGCTGCGGTGTCACGTGGGTGTATTTCTGTGTTCATACATAGGAATTAGGATATTCAGCAAAACTGCACTGTTCCTGAAAAACCACGAACACCCTTCACCCGCCCGCCATTTCCCCGTTGTGCCGGGAGGGGATCAAAGGGGGACGTTGCATCCGGGTCCCACTCACCTATCATAGCCTGCGGAGGAGGAGGAGGAGGGGGCGCTCACATAGCCTGCCCTGTCCACATTCACAGCAATGTCAACCTTCAGGATACAACGCTCCCTGCAGGCCGCCGGAGCTGCAACCCGAATACTGCGCAGGCGAGGTGAGGCGCTTCTTGCGGCAGTGCACTCTGGGAAACGTAGTCTCCTTGCTTGCTCACTTCCCCGGCTTCGCCCTGCTAGTGTCTATAAATGTCTATAAATAGCACATAACAGGACGTCGCTACAGCAATAATACACAGCACACGCACATATAGGTATCTGCCCTCCCGCCGCCGCTTTGTTGTGTTCAGTACCAGGAGACAGGAATAAAAGCGACGCCTGAGTCCCGCTGCAGGCGTTCAGGACCTCAACCTAAAGGGCGGGTGGGATAATTTGCCCTCAACCTTTGTGAGGCGAGTGGGCGCGCTGAGCACGGCATTCCTCTACTGCTTCGTTCCACAGGCATATCCTATGACCTTTTTGCCTTTGCTTACCACGCTTTCACTAGCTTTATGAGGTGGACAGAGAGGATGCGTATTTGGAGCAGGTGCGGCACATTCATATAGCAATTTTTACGCAGGTGTAAGTCCCGCTGGGTTCCACCACTCCCAAGAAATGTGTCAAAGGTGAATCAAGTGTGAACTGAAGTGTTGGGAAAGTAGCAATAACGAAGTGTGAGTTTAAAACACTTCCCAGGATATTTAAGCTGCAATCCTATACCTGGAAGTAAGCCCCGTTGAATTCTGAACAGACGTGTGTATTTATTACTATTGTTGATTTATTATCCACCTTCTAAACCACAGTCTCAAGGAGATTTACATAATTAAAATCAGTTAAAAACACAAAAACAGCAAAGATATGCCTTGGTTAGTCCTATGGCAAATACAGCACAAACCTGTTACATATCTACTCAGAAGTAAGATTCAATGAATTCTATGATGCTCACTCCCAGGTAGCCTTTGGCCTTTTAAACTGTATGGGATGGTATTGTTTTTGTTTGTTAGAATGGTATGTATTGTTTTTATATTCAAACCGCCCTGTCATCCTTGGATGAAAGGCAGTACAGTATAGAAATGTAAATAAATAACTAAAGAAATGTACATAACCTAAGGCTGCAATCAACCCCATTTCTCTGGGAAGAAGACCTATGAAATTACAGTAAATGACACTTCTGAGTGATATTGCTGCCAAGTTACCAAATGAAATAATGTTTAGTTTTATCAAGTGGGTTCAGAGCACAAGTTACCAAAAATTATGGGAACTTTATAAAAAATTTAACATCATTGTACTAAAATCTAATACGATATGCCAGTCAAACAAAAGCAGTAAAACAAGCATAATGTGTAGGGGTGTGTGTCTGTGTGTCTGTGTATATACACACACATATTCCACAGAATGGAAGATGGCAGGTTCCCCAACGACATGCTCCTCAGGCACCAGGCTCATTGGTGAATCAACTCTTACAAAGATGTCTGCAAATGAGACATGAATGCTGGCAACATCACCCCCACCATGCTTACAGACAATCACAGTGCCGGGCGACAGACAGTCAAGTGGTTTATCCACAGCAGTGATCAGAGGAGGAATGATATCTGGGAGGAGCGCAGAGAGAAGATATGCTGTGATGCATCTGTATCAGCACAGCCGGAAGCCTTCAACTTTTCAGTTGCAACAAAACATGTCTCTCCCATATCAGCCTCTACAGCCACAGCAGACACTGTAACTCTCCAACAGTCTTCTGTTGACTTCACCCCTGAAGGTGCACTTGTCTTCCAAGATAGACAGAAGTCAGCAATAGATATATATTCTGTCCCATGAGTTGCTTTTGCAGGAGTGGAGAGTGATCAATTAAGATCCTTGGAAACGAGTCCTGTTTATTTCAGCGGAGCACGCACAGGATTTCTGCACTGTCTGTATTATCAGCAGTTCTATACGAAACAATGTTTTGGAAATAAAGGAAAAGAAAAATAATTCACAAGAGGCAATAGTGGAGGCGGGGCGGGGATGATGGAGAGGCACCCTCCTAGCGGTGCAGCAATAAAACTGCTAGCACATTGCAATAAACTTCTAGCACATTTGCAAAGCTAAAGGGGGTCTACTCTAGTTTCAAAGTGGATCGGGGATCGCAAGTTGAGATTCCTGTATTGTAGGGGGTTGGACTAGATGACCGTCGGTTCCCTCCCAACCATAGCTGTCAACTTTTCCCTTTTCTTGCGAGGAGTCCTATTCGGAATAAGGGAATTTCCCTTAATAAAAGGGAAACGTTGACAGCTATGCTCCCAACTCTACAGCTCTGTGTGGTTCTATTTCCATGAGAGGTGGTATCTCTGCCTGTATTTTTTCCTTTCTACGGTGCTTCTCAGAGCACAATCCTATTAACCTTCCCTCTCCGGGACCAGGAGCAGACACGATCTCTCATTATAATAGGACAACCTAATTTTCACTATCTTCTTCAACTGGCATAAACGTTGGGGCGTTCAACAGCAGGTGAGGAGGGCGCAGCGACCTCAATATGAATTATCGAGCATGCTCTGTTCTCGCCGGATACTTTGTCCTCTTTAACCTGCCCCAGTACCGCAGGAGCGGTGCCGGGCCCCGCTTCGGCTCCCGGCAGATCTTTGCACGCCTTTCAGCTCCTTCCGGGTTCGAGTCACTCGTAGGTTTTCAGCCAGAGGCAAGAAAAACCTCGCCTCAACTGAGGGCAAGACAAGAGGGCGAAGGACTTCAGCTGCTGCTACCGCGCGTGCGCCTCGAGCCCAGCTTCGCGGTGGTGCCGAGGCTCCCGACACGGGCAGCGTTCTCGAGCTGCACATGCTCGTTGTTGACGCGTCGCCTAGCAACGGAGTCCCTAGAAGCGAGTTGGTGTTAGAAACAGGCCAATCTTTCCCCCCCCCCCTTCCTTCATCCCGAATCTGCACAGAAGCCTGCGCGGGGGCTGAGGAAGAGCTGATGCAGGGGGACGGAATTTAGGAAGGGGAGGAGTGCTTTAAAAAAAAAAAAAAGGTCGTTATCGGGTTTTTTGTTTTTGTGAATTTCCGTCCTCAAGTTCTTTAATTTCCCAAGCAGCCGCCTGAGGTGATGGTGGCGGAGAAAGAGGGCCCCAGCCCCCAGAAAGACAGACCCCCACAACTGCAGGAGCCGCTGAGGCATGCCAGAAGAAGCAAGAAGCAGGTCAGCGATGGATTCACCGTCAAAGCCATGATGAAAAACACCGTGGTATGTCTGACCAGCCAGTTGCAGCTGGCTTTCGGGTCGTTTGGTTCCCCCCTCTCCCCCCCTCTGGAGCCACACCGGGAAGGAAGGGGCTGCAAACTCGTTCGCGAGAGGTGGGGAAGGGCCAGCCTGGGCAAAGTGCACCTGGGCATCATTTGCACACACCTTCCTCCAAAGGAACGTCACCCACTACGGTGGGCAATGCCATTTAAGCCACACTTTAATCAGTCTACACTGTATATATGTGGGTGGGTGTGCGCGCGCACAGGATTTACGTACAAGCTAAACAAGCTATAGCTTAGGGCCCCACTCTCTTGGGGCCCCCCAAAAATTTAAAGGAAAAAAACACTGGATGTACATTTCCAAAATATAAGATAAAAAAACAAATAAAATAAAACATACATACAGCAACAGTGGCAAATGGCTTTAGATACCTATTAGGTCCATAAGTTACCATATAGCATATATACAACAACAACAAAAACAGTGACAATTTGTTGTTGCCAAAGGACAGCTGGACTTATAAAGGGCCGCATTACCTTCAGTAGCTTAGCCTCATCAAACCTAAATCTGGCCCTGTATATATACACAATCTCCTGTCATCACAATATATCCCACCACACCATACTGTTTCAACTGTTGCTATAAAGTCAGGTGACTGGCAAACATTTGGGAAATCACCTCACCTGCAACAGCTATAATAATTTAGCTCTATGGCCAAAGCCTCTTTTCTTTCTCTGGTTTTAATTAGAATCATTTCTATTTTCAAATCTCACTGCTTATTTTTATACAGGCTGGAGCTGTGGGCCTTGTTTAACTTCTATTATTATTATTTATTAAATTTGTATGCCACCTTATAGACCTGTAGATATCGAGACAAAACTTGTAAATCGGTACTTCCCCTGTGTGTTACCACCAACATTGTTTTTAAATCTTTCATTGAGCCCACAGAATTCTGTTTTTCACAAGGATTGCTATTCAGGTTGCTTTTAGGATTATCAAATTTTTAGGCTTAAACTACACTTTCACAAAGTTTGGCAAACTACTGCTTGCATTTAGGAAGATTCATTGATGTAGACGTGATCATTCAAACATTCTAATATTTTGAACAAAGTGTAGAGAATTACTGTGCAAGCGGATGCAAGTTTACTCAGAAAGAAGTCCCGCTATACTATGGTCAATGGGGCTTACACTGTAGTGTGTTTACAGGCCTTAGGCTGCAAGCTTGTAATATTTACCTAGGCGTAAATTCCATTGCAGAATATTTACTTCTGAGTAGACCTGCATAGGATTGGCTAAATTATTGTTTGAGCCTACTCTTTTCTCAAAAGTAAGTCCTACTATTTCAGTGAGACACTCTCTAGCCCATGTGCAGTACATCACCATCTCTTCTGTTAACCTGGGCTCCTTTGGGAAGAATGATGGGATAAAAATCTTTAAAAATAAAAATAATATTTTCTGTAGCACTTACAGGACGTTTCTGTATGAAACAAGCCCTACTAAATTCAGTGTGACTTTCCCCCAGATAAATCTGTGCAGGTTTGCAGTGTAGTATGCAATTCAGAAACAGCCTGTCCTGTCATCTTTGTTCATCTCTCATCTCCAGCAAACCCCACCCATCACACCTTACCCTGTATGAGTCACTTCTTTGAATAGGATCCTGCCCCTGTATTGCAAAGACATTTGAGAATTCATGTATGTGTATTCCATATAAAAATCAAGGGCCTCTGGTTGAGACACTCTATGTGAGGTGCGAAACTAATTTTTATGCCTACTCTATTTGGAAGAGAAACATTGTAGCTGCTGAAGGCATGGCATCATAAGCAAAAACATAGGACAATGCTCTTGATGGCAGGACATTACTGAGTAAAGGCTGCTGTGTGCAGAGTTATGTGTAGGTTGCACCCCTTCAGCCACTTCCTCAGAAGTAGTATCACTGAAGTCAATGAGACTATTTTGAAGTATGTGATTTGCAGCTATAAGTATCAGTTTGCCATCTATCAATTTTATAGCAGTCTCTTTGACTTTAATAGGACTCCTGTTACAAATGGGTTGATGATTTGATGCCTTAGCCAAAGAGAAGCTTCAGAGCAGAGCTGGAAATATTTCAAAAACCAAGTCCTTGGAGGGAAGTTTCCAGAATTGAAAGGGGCCTTGAAGGAATCTTATAATAGT